AACTGGATAGGCTAACAAAAGCAATGACACTTACATCGTCGTCGCATTTCGTGCGCCACTGATAAGGCTGCCTGACGGCTGACGCAGACCTAAAATTCGAATGCAACGTTTTTGCATTCGAATGTGGATTTTTTTTTTTTTAATTCAACGAATATTCGATTTTTATTTGACAGCCCTAATTTGTAGTAGTAGTAGTAGTAGTAGTAATATGATTATTAATATATACTACTGTTAAAACATTTGGGTCAGTAAGATTTAAAAAAAAAAAAATTATACTTTCAGCAATCAGAAAGAATGCATTAAATTGATCAAAAGTGTCAGTAAAGACATTTATAAAGTTACAAAATATTTCTATTTCTAAAAAAAATTTCGTTCTTTTGAACTTTCCATTCTCAAAGAATCCTGAAATATAAATATTCCACAAAAATATTGTGCAGCACAACTGTTTTCTACATTGATAATAATCAGAAATGTTTCTTGAGTAGTAAATCAGCATATTAGAATGATTTCTGAAGATCATGTGACACTGAAGACTGGAGTAATGATGCTGAAAATACAGCTTTTATCACATTTTAAAATATATTCACATAGAAAAGTCAATTGAAATCGCAATAATATTTCACAATTTTACAGTTTTTACTGTATTTCTGATTAAATATACAGTAGAATATAAATAATTATATATAATATGTAAATTATATTAAACATTGTAGTATATGTATGTATATATAAAATTATTCTATGCATTTATAATAATCTTGAATTAAGCTTTTCCACTGAATGCATTACAAACATACTTTGTTTCTAATAATAAACAACACTGCAGCAATACAAATTATTTACAGTATATATAAACTTATTTTGCCATTCTAAAGTAGCTCATGCAAAAGTCAGTTTATTTGTATACCAAATGATTTACCCAAGACTGTTTACCATTGCTAAAGTGAAGCTCACCGCTGATTGGTGAACATTTTTTAGTGACATACAGCTTTGACTTTTAAGCTATCATGCCACAAGACATCAATCGCCTCCAGTTCAGCTTCTCGTTTTTCTTTTCAGCACAAGAGCACATTGAGGTCACTAAAGCAGTTAGATGGGGCTTATTCAGACCAATAAAAAAGCATCCATATACACACACACACATACTGAAATAGTGCTGCTAAAGTGAATGTTAATTTGGTGGCATAAAGACACAGCTGGTACTGCGAGACGTGAACATTGTGTCACATTTCAGCAGCGAGCGCGCACAGAAAGAGCTCTCAGCCTGAGCCCTGTTTAAATATGAGTAAGCGCTATTGAAAAGGCTATTGATCTGCCTATGATTAGAAGTCCATTCATGGCCTTTGCTGTGGCTGTTGGCCCTCGCTTCCTTATTGACTCGCCGTGATGGACTGACTTCGGCCCATTCAAGAGAAGCCCGTTCATAGTGGCCGACTGAGATAAGATTGAAACTTCACTGCTGTTTCAGGGCTTTCGGTTGATATGATTGTTTGGAGGTTTCTAATGAAAGCAAGAGTCACTCATCAATAGAAAGTTAAACTTGGGAGTCCACAGTAGATTGAGGATATACTTTAAGACAAAGTACTACAAATCTGAGCATTTGGTGCTGAGTTTAGATCATGCAACAGATCTTGTGCACTAAAGTGAATGCACTAATGCTTTTTAACATTTATTTGCTCTGGAATGCACTGATGCATCGGCTCTGTTTCAAAACCTGGCAATGTGCAAAAAAATAACATGTTTCAGCATTAGTTAATTGCATTAGGTATAATGACCTAAAATGAACAACATTTTTGCATTATTTATTAAACTAGGCTAAAAATTCATTATTTTTAAGTTTATTCGAATAAATTAGCTAATGTTAATTTAGTACATTAAGTAAGATTTGTTTGGACAATCTTTTACTTTATTAAAAATCACTGGATAAAATATTTAAAAAAGAAACAACATTGTTTTCTTGTTTTTTTTTCATGTGTCCAGTGATTTTTAATAAAAGAAGAGTTTGTTTATTTGAACATTTTACAACCTGGATATTTTAGAAAAAATAATTAACACAGATTAAACAATATTAATAATTGTTGTAAAAGAATTGTTCATTATTTAATGTTAACTGCTGAATTAATGAATGTTAACATATTGAATCTTATTGTAAAGAATTATGGTAACACTTCAGATTAGGGAACACTCACAATCAACTAACACTTTTGTCTCAATAAACTCCTAATTTGTTGGTTATTAATAGTTAGTAAGGTAGTTGTTAAATTTAGGTATGGGGTGGATTAAGGGATCTAATATATGGTCATGCAGAATCAGACATTAATATGTGCTTTATAACTACTAAGAAAAAGCCAATATGCTAGTAATATACAAGCTAATAAGCAACTAGTTAATAGTGAGAACTGGTCATTAAAGGAACACGCCACTATTTTTGAAAATAGGCTCATCATTTTTGAGCGAGATGCTAACGGTCTAATCAGATTCAATGATCTATGCTAAGCTACAGCCAAAAGTGCTACCGCCAGACCCGGAGATCGGCTGAATGGATTCGAAAATGGTAAAACTCAACTGTTTAACTCTAGGGGAGCCTATGAACTCTAAAATGAGCCTATTTTCAAAAATTGCCATTTTTCCCCAGACACGTCCTGGCTAGGATTTCTATATTGTCTAAAATATCCAGGTTTTGGCTTTGTTTTCCTGTTTTCATACTTGCTGAAGGTAATGATCGAAAAGTAGTTTGACCAATAACATGCAGGCATTGTACATAACCGACCAATCGTGGCGCGTGAGAAGATGGGATCTACAGAGAACAAAATCTAATGCAGCATTGAATGCATCCTTTACAGAGAAGGCAAACACAGAATGCATTTTGAAATAATTATTGCAAATATATAAATATGATTATTTCAATTAATTGAAATAGACTATATGACTTAATATTTGTGTGTACAGTTTTTAGAGTGTTGCATCAGTATCTTTATAACTTCATATCATCATAACTCTATTAAAATCAATTGTGCATGCAGTTTCCCGTTTGCTTCATGTGAGACACTATGTATGACACAAATTTGCGCTCCAAATCTGTCACTTATGAGCCTCCATTTCAGTTAGGACGCATCTAGATGGTAGACAGCACTAGGTTGTAGAGAATAGGCCTAGAATTAGACAATGTGAAGAAAGTTTGTAGACTGAACATGCACTTCACTGTGCCCTAACATGTCTTGTATTCTGTGTATATTGTTTATTGTCTAAACTTTTGTATTATTGTATTTGTACTACATATATTGCACTGCTGATATGTGATACACAAAACGACCTTTCTATATATTGTTGTTATGCTGGGAACGTTAATGCTGAATCAATGCCAAGACCTGTTGAGAAACATAACTTCATTCTCCCATATCTGGGCTGAATGACAATAAAATGAACTTGAACGTATTTGCAAATGTCCCTGCAAAAGAACTTAACTTTAATAGCTAATAATAATATAATATAGTTCCAATATTACTCAAATTAAAACAGTATTATTATTAAAAAGGCATAAGTTGAAGAATTAAGAAACAATCATATGCAATGCAGTATAAAGCCAAGATACCTAGGTCTTCTGTGAGTTGCTAAAACAGTGCATGTAAGTGTGCCCAGAGACGAATCGAGCATTTGCCAAGCCATCAGCCTGTTATAGAGAGCTTCACAGATGACGCGCACTGTGCTAGATAAAACTCAACAAACAACAATCTGAGCAGATCTGTCGTATTTTTGAAGATGTTTAAACTTGTTATGCAACACAGTGTTCAGTTATAAAACTTTCAAGTCATGCATATAAAAAAAAAAAAAAAAAAAAGCATTTTGCAGAAAGTTGAGAGGTAAGAATCAAATAAATGCAGCTGAGGGTAAATAAGAGGGGCTTTCAACAGTGCAGACAGATACCAGAAAGAAGAATGATAGAGCTGGATGCACAAACAAAACCAGAACTGAGCTGAATCTTAAAATCTGCTCGATTCAACCCATTATCTTAAAGGTGACTGCGTGATAAGACTAAAAATGTGATTCGTGAGCATATGATCGACTGAAACCATCACCAGCTGCAAGAGTTTTTCAAACAGCTCAATTCACATCTGATGATACAGTTTCACATCACACAGAATAGCCAGACAGCTGCAGAAGCAAATTCCGTTTTTACAAAAAGGCAGACATTTGCAAGTAGTTGCTGAAAAACAGCCCAAATAATGCTTATATTGACCTCATGAGATGGTTAAACAACACTTCTGACTGAATATCACACTTTATTTTTGCACCCGAAGCGACATGCCAGTGTGTAAAACTACACATATTTGTATTCACACAGCACTTTTTTAGCAAAGCAGACGTTTTATTCTGGTTTTTACTGAAATTATTCTTGACCTCATTATAGAAATGTTCAATCTAGAGGTCAGGAGAGCATCTGAAACCACCTTTCAGCCTCAACCCAGCTTTACAATCAATATTCGTGATTCACCAGCAGATCCACAATAGGAATTAATGTAGCTAGCATTCTTAAACAGTTCTTTTCGTTATTTAATAAAACCCAAGTCAACTGCACACTAGAAAGCAATTCAAAACTAGAGCAAAACCAAAAATTATCAGTTTTTATAAATGCAGTTATCACTCTGGGCCTGTGTTTAAAGCTATATACAAGATAAGACTGACAGACAGTGGTCATTTAGAAAATAATTTCCCTTCATTAAGTGCTTATAAGCTAAAATGCATCAACTACATGACTAATAACCTCATGGCTGTGTTGCCCAAAAATGCTGCTACAGTATGAAACCAGCTCACTAGGTTTGAGACACAGCCCAAGCCCTCACACTGTGTTCCGGCTCATCAGACAGAAACACACGAGCACACTTACAAAACAACTGACACACATCTCAACTCAAACTACACACATAGCCTGACAGGCTCTGATGTTCCCTCGTCAATATCTGATCTGAGACAAGAAGGTTCAGCAGATCGAGGAGTTTTACCTCAGATGTTCGGAGGACTGTTTCCGTCGCTCTTGAGAAACATTAAACTTCCCAGCGCCGCTCTTCGTCTCAATGTGAGCTCAGATCTGGCGGTGTGTGAGATCAGCAGCACAGGAAACACGCCGCATTTCTCCTTAAAATCACTTTATCTCCGGCGACCGCGAAAACAAGCCACTCTGAGCTCCATCACTGCGAGATTCATCCGCGAGGAAAGCAACACAAACACTGAGAGGGAGGTAGGTGTGTGTGTGAGTGAGTGAGTGAGAGAGAGAGAGAGAGAGAGAGAGAGAGAGAGAGAAAGAGCGAGCGATCGAGATCAGCACCACGGACAGCGACCCCATTCATTCAGTTTAGACGTTTAGCAAGTAAATAAAACATGAGTAAAAAAAAAATCTACTTTTTTATCTTTATTCTTTTTTAATCTTCAAAAGCTTGCTAATAATATACTTTTTAATGGAATAGTTTACTCAAAAATTAAAATTTGTTGTCTTAAAATTCGTATGATTTTTCGTTCTTCAGTGGAACGCAAAAGATGTTTTGAAAAATGTTTACACTGCTTTTTTTTTATAAACAAATAATTATAATAGTTATATAATAATTAGAATAGCAATTTATGCTTCCAAACTCCAAAAGGCTTAAAAAAACAATAGTTGACTTTTTGTTAGTAGTAGTAGTAGTAGTAGTAGTAGTAGTAGTAGTAGTAGTAGTTACTGCTGTTGTTGTCCAGGCTGGACTATTATTGTAATATAATCTATTTCACATGAATTCTTTCCTAAATGACAAGTAAACACAAAACAAACTATGGTTGAAGTTAAAAAGTCAAATATTATATTTCCTTAAACCTGTAAAAGAAAAGAAAAGACTGACATTCTGACACATTTCTAAACTTGCCTCTCAATGGCACATAAAAGCAAAAACTGTGGTCGGTCACTTTTACATGTCAATAATATGGTCTCTTCCTGTCAAAGTGAGTGGTTCTGGGCCAAAATGATCTGTAATGTGTTTCAAACCTTATGCTGATATTCAAAAGCCTGACTAACAAACCCATGACAGAAAGAACAGGAGGGACTCTATTACAGGACAGAAGCTGGAGCATTTTAATGTTTGTACATGTCAAGCTTGAATTAAACTGTTACACATGGGACAGAAGACCGTGCACACACTCTTTTTGACAGACTCACTTAACATATTGATAATTGTTTGTTCTGCATAACAGTCTCTTCTTCAGGTCTAGAGTAGAGTGGAACCAGAAAACACTCTGTTTCGTCTATATTTACCTGCAGAAGCGTGTGACACATATGTCTTCTGGGAGGAGATGTTGGGAATAATATGTCAGCCATGATCTGAGGAGGTGACTGTAGCATTTGACTCATTTGAAGTGATTCAGTGAAGTGATGCTTGATGCATCTGGATGCAGTTATTATATACAGAGTGAACTGCGTTAAAGTAGGTGTCTAAATTAAGTGCACAAACAAATCTGAACAACTATATCAGTTTATTTCCAGAGATCCTGGAATATTGCAGACATGTACCACTAACATGATACTTTTTGAAATGTCTTTCCATCATTAAGTGTCATGTTAGATTTCCTATTCGTATTGTGCAACACTTCTACTCTGTAACTAAAGTAAAAAGAGTATGTTTGCGTTGTCATTTAAGGATATTTATGTACATATTCACTGACTTCTTTATGCACTCGGGGTTCAGTCTTTCCCCAGTTTGATGCTGAACAAAATGTTTCCCATCTGACCCAAATAAATGAAACTTGCTCTCATCACTAAAGTGAACTTTGGACCAGTTCTTCTCTCTCCACACAACATGTTCCTCAGCAAAGGTGAGCTTAGCCTTTAGATTCTTTCTGCTGATGAGAGGTTTGGTCACTGCAGAGTGTGCTTTCAGTCCGGCTTCTCTTAAACGTGCCAAGACAGATCCTTACCCTGTTCAGCGCTGAACTGGCGAGCAATTCCAGCTGCAGTGCTGAACCGATTCCCCATTGAGCATCTCCGCATTATCCTGTCTTCTTGTGCATTTGTCTTACAAGGATGACCAGACTTTTTGGGGGACTTGAATGGATTAGTGTTATTGTAAAGCTGCAGTATTCGAGAAATCACAGATTTAGAATGACCAGCTTCTCTTGCAGTGGCTGAAAGGGTCATCATCTGGACTGCGTCCTGTTGCAGGGTTTCAGTCACCTTAGAGCGGCCCGCCATCTTGCAATCTCAGTGTAAATTAGAGAAATGCTTCTAGTTAAATAGGGTTTGTCATATAATTAAGGAAATTAGCACCAGATGCCAGATTAACACCAATAACTTTGTAGGTATCAGTAAGTGTTCTCTAATTTTGATCAGAGTTCTTTTTCAAATATCTAATTTAAGTTTTTTATACTGTGCTTTATAACACAATTAATTTAAGAAATATGCTTTAAAACTGCCCTTTTACTACTATTAGGATAACTTCAAATAGGACTAAGCAGTGACCTCGAAATTTAGGAAATTGTAGGTTGTTCTCTAATTTTGATCTCATAATATGCCATCAAATGATCCAGTTAAGGACATTTGCTGTTTATGGAGAGATTAAAGATTTGTGAGATTGAACACATGTATGTGTGCTCCTCTTCTATCATCATGAAGGATTTTGGAGAAGCGTTTAGCCCCGAGCTGCCAATAGGAATCTGACACTGCAGTCTACAGCTAGATGCTTTGGATTAAAAGTCTAACAAGCGGTACATTTTTGCATACTTATCCTTTAGACTCCCTTCTCTGCAGAAGCTAATGTGATGAAGCAAGATTCAATCCGAACCTTTCCGTTTGATCCCACCTCAAACATTAAATCCAAATGCCAGCTCTGTCCTGAACCACACTCTTACCCAAACTGCCCTCAAACTTCCACTCTAGTCTGGATTATCCTGAAGTGACCTGAAACTTCTCATATATTAATGTATTTACGTAATAGCATTAACTATGCATCTCTTTTTTGGTGAAGGAGATTATTAGAGTGATTATATACACTACCGTTAATGATAAAGAGATGCAGTGAGAACTTAATACTTTTATTTAGCGAGGATGCATAAAACAGATCAAAAGTGACAGTAAAGACATTTATAATGAAAGATTTCTGTTTTACAGAAATGTTCTTTTCTGCTGTTCTTTTAAATTTTCTATTCATCAAAGGATCTAGAAAAAAATAAATAAATATCAACGCTTCCACAATAATATTGGGCAACACAACTATTTTCAACATTGATAATAACCAGAAATGTTTCTTGAGCAGCAAATCAGCATATTAGAATGATTTCTGAAGAATCATGTGACACTGAAGACTGGAGTAATGATGCTGAAAATTCAGCTTTGCATCACAGAAATAAATTACATTTTAGCAGATATTCACATAGCAAACAGTTATTTGAAATTGTAATAATATTTCACAATTTTACAGTTTTTACTGTATTTTGTCAAATAAATGCAGCCTTGGTGAGCAGAAGAGCTCAAACTATGGAAAATAATAGCATGAGGTGAGTGGTGATAGAGCTTTAATTTGAGTGAACTATTCCTTTAAAGTTTAATGTCAATATCTTTTGCTCTACGTCCAATAATCTCTCTTTTGTGACACTTACACACACACACACACACACACACACACAGACACACACACACACACACACACGCACGCATGCACGCACACACACACACACACTCTCACAGACACACACACACACACACACACACACTCTCACAGACACACACACACACACACACACACACGCACGCATGCACGCACGCACACACACACATCAAACATGTTGAATTCAATACAGAGTGTTTTCCTGGTTAATCACTGCAGTCAGTCAGTGTAAACTGTGTTATAGCTGCAGGCAGAGAGTTGAGCTGCATCTCTCTCTCTCTCTCTCTCTCTCTCACTGAGGAAGAGAGCTAGTCAGTAATCAATGCAAACACTACCACACCAATCAATGCATTCAAAGAAAACAAATAAACAAAAACAAATCATTCAGTCCTACATCACTACCTCTGAAACAAAAACAGGCCAATCAAACCACATTTATTTTCTGTGATTTTGTTTGTTTATTATGCAGATTCCTACAGTATTTAAATCTTTGTTATGCATCATGAATATTGTCATCTCTTATGACAAATTGCTTGTGATGTTCTTCATTTGCAAGGTGCTTTGGATAAAAGCATCTGCTAAATGAATGAATGTAAATGTCACTTCTTAAAGGGATAGTTCACTCAAAAATGAAACTTCTCTCATCATTTTCTCACCCTCGTGCCATCCCAGATGACTTTCTTTCTTCAGATGAATACAAATGAAGATTTTTAGAAGAAAAAAAAGAATAATCAATCCATATAAGAGAAGTGAAATGAAGTGAGTTACTCCTTTAACTCTTGTAAAATCTCTTGAATACACAGCTTATTGCTTTAATAAAATACAGCAACTGAAAAATCATAAAAGACACCAGTGTTCAGTAAACAAATGCATTAAATTAACTTTTTTTTTTAGAATAAACGATTTTTCTGCTAAGTTCTTCATTAGCCCATCTAAAGATTGTTTACGGTTTCTAAACAACTTCAAGACTTTAATGCATGGTGCGTTTATCAAAAGTTATAAGCACAGATCATCTAATTAAGTAATTAGTGAATTTCTCAGAACTATAGATGTTTATTCACAATCAAATATGCTTTGTGTTATTTGTAGCCAAACCCTTGTGAAAAATAACCATACAGTAATTAATATCCAGCAGACTGTCATCATCACTCTTTTGAATGTATTTTTAGTTTATCAAATAAAGAGAGATGAGGGGAGATGTCAAAACCACATGAAGAGCTTATGTGACGTGGCATCTGATCGGCAGATGGTTGTGAGACACATGAGAACATCCATAGATGGGAACAGCTGCCATCCACCAAATTCAGCCCAAAATCCGTTTAGAGACAACAGCTCAAATGATCTCAAACAAACTACTTTAGGTTCATGTTTTTAGGATGAAAGATAAAGATAGCATGGCCTAACTCCATATAGATAACACTCAGATTGCTCAGACAGGAGAGAGAGATAGATCAGGCAACGAGCACATGTGCATTTTAGATGTTGTATTAAAACAATATTTTTGGAGCACCACTTTAAAAATGCAACCATAATTGCAGCCATGGGAATAATAAACACAAAATACGGCTGGATAAAATGACTCGAGTGGAATAGTGTTG